AGTAAATATTTTACACTACACAAACAATAAGAAATAAAAAAATTGAAGATGTTGCATGTTTGTTCCAGTGTTTAATAATTTGGAATTCCTTGGGTTCCACTTTAGTTTGCATTTTTGTGTTTAAAGAATGGTGTAATGCAAAAGATAATTAGATAATTTCGGAAATATACGGTTTCATGATAATAAACTACAAGTGGTCCCAAGAGGTACAAAACTGGTCGATATGGAAACACTGATTATGGATCTAGTTGGATAAATTTAATTTCCATGTTGTTAGTTACGCTGCAACACTCAGACTAAGACACTTCCCTACCCGCTGGAAAACAGCAAACATAATCCTTATCCCAAAACCCAACAAAGATCACACCATCCCATCCAACTACCGGCCCATTAGCCTGCTCCCGGCTATGAGCAAAGTGGTAGAAAAAATTATCCTAACCCGTCTAAGAACCCACTCCCAAGAACTGCAAGTCATTCCAGACGAGCAGTTCGCCTTCCGACCCAATCACTCCACTGAACTCCAAATCCTTCGCCTTACCGAGCACATCACGGCGGCCTTCAACAGGGGACAGTACACTGGTGCTGTCTTCCTGGACGTCGCAAAGGCCTTCGATACGGTTTGGCATGAAGGCCTACTGATGAAAATGCTCACCAACCAATATCCCATATCCTTTACCAAACTCATAAAATCCTACCTACACCACCGAAAATTCCGCATCCAAATCCAAGATTCCCTTTCCACCACCCGTCCCATGGAGGCCGGTGTCCCCCAGGGCACCGTCCTGTCCCCACACCTATACACCATTTACAACTCCGACATCCCACATCCCCCCAACACCAACATATACTTATACGCCGACGACCTGACAATCACATCCCAATCCGTAGATCCTAGATATTCCGTCTCCCTCCTCCAAAACTCCTTAGACCAACTTGAAACCTGGTGCAACAGGTGGAAAGTCAAAATTAATCCCAACAAAAGTTCGGCTATCCTTTTTACCAAACGAAAAATCCCACAAAACCTCGACAGACTGACACTATCCCAGGAACCCATCTCCTGGAATCGACAAACACGATACCTGGGCGTGACGATGGACCAGCGTCTCACGTGGAAACCGCACATCGTGGAGACGGTGGCGCGAGCGAAGACCACCAGGGCTAGGCTCTATCCCTTACTCAAAGGTGGAAACACCCTCAGTTTAAGGAATAAGCGAACGCTTATCAAGGTGGTACTTCAACCGCAGCTAACCTACGCCTCCACGGCGTGGGGTCACGCGGCAAAAAGCCACTTAAAGTCATTACAGGCTGTGGAAAACATAGCCCTCCGCACGGCCACCGACGCGCCCTGGTACGTAAGAAACACTGACATATTACGAGACTTACAATACACAAACGCTACACAGACAATAAGACAAAACGCGGAGAAACGATTTGACGTAGCCGCTAGACATGACAATCCCCTCCTCAGGCAAGCCGTTGACTACGTACCCGACGTGACCGACAAACACAAAAGACCTAGACACCAACTTTTTGACCCTGGGTGACCACCCCAATGACCCCCCCCCTGCCCGCTAACCTTTTCTGTTTCAGAGACAGCCAGGATCAAGAAACGAAGACAACGACACACACACACACACACACACACACCCCCCATACCCTCCTTAACCCTCCCCTCCCGCGCTAGCCTAAGGGCCACCTTAGCAAAGCGCATCCCAGGCTGCATAGCCGCACTACCCTACCCAACCATACCACACATAAACATGACACTACCCCCGGGGTTTACACAGACGAGCCGGCGAAGCAAGAAGAGCGCCAGAAGAAAGGGCCCTAGCCGGCGGGGCCCAGCCAGGACAAAAGGAGGTCCCACAAAGCGCCTACACCGGCCGCATTTGCGGTCGGGGTAGACGACGGATGGGGCCCACCTACGAAGGCTGTCCAGGCCTACACGAGATGAGGCAGGATAAAGAGGGATAATCCCCCTCGATCCCAAATCATTGAGGCCAATTTCTAGCCATGATGAGTTACGCTGCAATTGAACATGTTAGAAATATCAGATGGAAATTCGTATCTGCTTGGGAAACCAATAATACAAGTTTTAATATAATTCTCATGGGTATTAATTTATTGGCAGACTAATCAATAGAGGTTTTGTTTGTGACAAAAATACCGGTGGCAAACGGACTGTGCCATAATATAAAAGACAGTCTGTAGATATATGCTTATATGTGTCCTAGTCCAATTTACCATTAATTCATTTTTTATAAAAAAAATTTATGCAAAAAGAGTATTTATTTTAGTCTTTTGCTTATAAAACCTAAACTAACGAAGCAATCTGAATGCTATAAAGAGACAATTTGTCTAATCGACGAATAAACTGAGAGGTTGATCGATCCGATCGGATAATTAGAAACGAAGAAAACTGGGAAAAGGAAAAATCGGAAATTTTAAAGTTTTTTTTTAAATTCATTATTCTGCCATTTTTAAGTTGTAGAGCTGGCCCTGTGCACAAAAGTAGTGAATTATATGAACTTTATGTGCACAAAGCAGGCGCTATCGGACCATTAGTTTTGGCACACTTTCAATTTGAATTTTTTGGTACACTATTTTGCAAAATTTCTGGATGCGTTGGTGGTGGTCCGATTTTAATTTTTCAGCCGGATTTTAAAAGTAGAAGTATAATACTACAAAACATATTGCCAACAACCAGAAACAGCTGATTTTTTGACACCGAACTTAGTATGCACAGTGACAGAGTGGTAAGAATACACGGAATCACAATGATGTGAAACCTGTGGACATTCCTTGTTTTGTTGCTGCGTTTCTTGACATTTACCAGAAATTTTGACATCAAACGTGAATTTGACAGTATTCTTACAAAATTTATTTTTCCATTCCAAAGAATACTTATTTAGATGTCCTTGTATACCGTTAAGGAAATTTTATTACATATTGTAAGTTGTTTATGAACAATTTAGCAAGTTTGGAAGAATTTTTCACCTATTTCGCATCATTTTATGGAAAAATTAGAATATACATTTTGTAGTATTATACTTCTACTTTTAATATTCGGCTGAAAAATTAAAATCTGATCACCTCCAATGCATCCAGAAATTTTGCAAAATAGTGCACCAAGAAATTCAAATTGCAATTGTGCCAAAACTAATGGTCCGACAGCACCTGCTTTATACATAATTGTAGTACATACAGGGTGGGCCATTAGTGTAAGAACTCCCTTGAATACAGAAAAAGAGTTTATATAAAAGTTATACAGAATCAAGAAACCTAAACTACGAAATTAATTTGATACATACAGGGTGATGAGTAAAAACGGGACACGCCAAAAAAATTAAATTTTTTAAATGGAACACCCTGTATATTTTTAATTATGAATTTCCGAGGAAATTGTATATATGGCAATATAAACAGTTTATAATCTAAGTGCGGGGTTTCCAAGTTATGTAGAATATTCTTCGAATTTTGGAAAAAACATGACCTCGAAAAAGTTGTATTAACTTTCAGCTAATAACACTCGGAACAAAATAATTAGACAGAGTTATAGGCAATTGTTAGACAAATGCTCCTAGATTAGCTAATATCGATATTTTATACAGGGCAGTTTTTATAATAATAACATATATCATTTTTAGAAAGTTTAAACTTGATTTTCTAAAATTTTTCAAATACCCTGTATTTTATTGGTCTATTTTATTCACATATCGGTCCACTTCAACTTTTATTAAGCATGTTCTATATCTAAAATTGTTAGTTTTTAAGATATACCTAGCAACATTTCTGAAAAAACTTAATTTTTATTATTTTATAGAATACCACAAATAAATATTAACTAATAAAATTAACTCAAAATGGAATGATAAATTATGTAGTAACAAGTTGACACAATGTGACAGTTTTTTCCAAAACCAGTTTGTGCGACCGAAAAATAATAAAAATTATATTTTTCCAGAAATGATGTTATATCTTAAAAACTAACAACTTTAGGTGTAGAACATACTTAATAAAAGTTGAAGTGGAATGTGAATAAAATAGAACAATAAAATACAGGGTGTTCCATTTGAAAAATTTAAAAAAATCAAATTAGAACTTTCTTAAAATGATCGTATTATAAAAATGTCCTGTATAAAATATCGATATTAGGTAATATAGGAGTTTTTGCCTAACACTTGCCTTTAACTCTGTCAAATATTTTTGCTTCAATTGTTAGTAGTTGAAAGTTAATACAACTTTTTCGAGGTCATTTTTTTCCAAAATTCGAAGAATTTTCGACATAACTTGACAACCCCGCACTAAAATGTTAAACTGTTTATATTGCCATATATAGAATTTTCTCAGAAATCCATGTCTAAAAATATACAGGGTGTTCCATTTAAAAAATGTAATATTTGGCGTGTCCCGTTTTTACTCATCGCCCTGTCTGTTTCAAATTAATTTTGTCTTTTAGGTTTTTTGATACTGTACAACTTTTATATAAACTTTTTTTCTGTATTATGAATAACATGGAGTTATTTTACTTTCTCGGATCGAATCGATCGACCACTTTTTATTCGTATTTCGATTCTCTACAAATTGTCTCTTTAAAGCATTCAGATTGCTTCATTAGTTTAGGTTTTATAAACAAAAAACGAAATAAAATGCGTTTTTTGCATAAAAATGTTTATAAAAAATTAATTAATGGTAAATTGAAGTAGGAAACGTAAACTGTCGTTTATATGATGGCACAGTTCGTTTGCTACTAGTATTTTTGTTTGAAAACTCTATTGATTGACCTATGGTTATTTATATTCTCTTTCACATCTATAAATTTTAAGGGTTACAATTTAGTTTAATGTATTCATTTTCAGTAGGTGTCACATCTAATTACAGAAAATAACAATTTGCAAACATTATAGGTAATGTCATCTTGTGACAGGTGAAAAAAATGTGAAATAAATGTGAAATAGGTAGAAAAAAACATAATTTATTTAAACATATTTTTACTTTGTTTTTGTACAGACTAATTTGTTTTTATTCATTTGAGTCAGTTTTTACTGTTGATTCGTAATTTATAAATTTGAACAGAGGTACTGGATATAATTAATTGTGGTTGTTTCTTTTTTCAGAACCGACCTGAGGATTGTCACAGAGGCCGTCCAAAGCAAAAGCTTGAACAACTTAATAATGGTAAGTTCTTCCAAAGTATGTTGCCTATAATATATTCTTTTTATTCTATACATGCGTCCTATATATAGTATATAGTTTAAAACAACTTATCTTATAGGAGTTATATATAAAAATTATTTTTTCCGCAAGAATATGTATTTATAAGTGAACGTAGCTATAAGAGATCCTATGGTTGGGGCAATCCAATAGACCTAAAAATTAAATATAGTATAGTTGTGAATTGATGAAGAACAGACAGTAGGTATTTTTCTATTTCGAAATACACCATTATGATACATTTAAAAAATTGTTTCTAAATATATTCTTACAAAAAACTTACACTTTAACCTATCATTAGATTTTTAAGTTTACTTGTAACTTTTCAAAATCATTCATATTATTATTATATTTTCAGTGTGATTATAAAATTTTACCCAATGAGCATTATAGTCGTTCCCCCATACAGCTGGACCAAAAGTTCGTACTGGATTCATACTAGCTCCTGTATAAGCAGCCTGAAATAAAAATAATTTTCTAACTTAAAGTATATTTCACATAATCCAAACCTAACTACTAACATGTTTCATCTTAATAATTTATTAAACCGTATACATGCATGTATTTTGTGGGTATATATTCTATACGTATTTTACGTAGTTTTAAATGCCAGGCAACCAACAATACAAGCTTTTATTTCACGTATATTTATTTCATTCCACAACTAAAAGCGAAATGATAATTCATCACAATTTATCTTGATTTAATGCTCGTGTCTTCGGATAGTACCCATTCATCAATCAGATTTCATTAGACCCTTTTGTCTTTATCAGAAGTTTAATGAAAGCCCCAAAGGTAATTTTGAAAGAGCTTGCTATATTAATTTGCCTCTAAATTACAGAATTTTGAAATTGAAATAGATTTCTACGGCCACTTGTCTGTCTAGTGACTTTTATTTATGTTCCGTCACTAGTTAGACGTTGATATCACTCAGCGTTATTACATAGCAAAAAAAATTTTTCAGTTACAAATTGGGGCAATTTTGTTACTTTTAAACACTAGCACACTGAAGGCTTATAAATTGACCAAAAAATAATTTGTTTTTTTAAATCAAATCTGAAATCACCATTGAATTACGGCGAAATTTTTGCGAAATACAGTGAACTTTCCTCTCTATTTAATATTACATTTTCTCAAAATCTTACATATTTGATAAAAATATAACTCAAAAGTAATTAAAAATGAACAGTCATTGATAATAAAGGCGACAAATAACAGATTGTTTAAACAAATGTAAAGCCGACCCTGCTGAAATTTATTCGAATCTCTTTTAAAATTAACACAAAAATTAAACAAATAAACGAATTATTTACCAGTTGTTTCCATGTGCTAATAAACATGCTTCCAAACGACGGCCAAAATTAATTCGCATACGCCCAATATACTCCTGGCATTTGTCGAATTTTATTAGGTATGAGCTATTATGAATTAAAGGGGACATATTTTTATATACAGTGTGTTTCACTTAAAGTAGGAACACCTCCATATTTAGGATGACATTGGCCGATTTCCAAAATTCTTTTTTTTATGTGGTAGTATTCAAAAAGGGCTTTTTTCTGATATATTTTTTGACATGTGATCTTTTGTACGGCCTACTGTCATTAAGAAAAGACCCTCAAAAATTAAAAAACATTAGGCATTTTTTTAAGAAAGAAATGAATAGCATTTTCGATTTGATCACGCCTCAAAACCCTAAATACAAAATTTAATTATTATAGCTTTTACAGGGTTTTCACAAAATAGGTGCAAACTTCACTCATTGCAATATGCAGTGCAGTATAAGACAGCCAAATTATATTTTCTTTTTATTAAACAGAGGACTAATAGAAAACAGTAATATTTAAATATTATTTCATTGTGAAACTCATTTCTGATACAATAAAAAATATATATACAGGGTGATTCAAAAAACCGCTGACAGACTTCTAGGGTAGATAATACATAAATAATTAAGACGAAAAGTCTTAATAAACATAGGGTCGCAAATGCCTCCTTAGCGAGATACAGGGCATCAAAGTTTCTGTAAAATTAAACATTGTCTGCAATAATTCCAAAATGCCTGAACATTTCTATTTCAAATTTGCTATGCGTAGTTAGCATCTTAAGACCAATGTTTGATGTACTGCTCAAAATTTTATGAGCCGCAGTGTCGTAGAGACGGGGTCAACGTGACCCTTTTTTAAAAATAGTTTCTACGCCACTGCTAATTTTGTCAAAAGGGCACTATTTTCGTGTAAAGTGTTCAATTGTCTATAGAATTGGTCTCTTGCAAAATTTGGAATAAAGCAACCATTTTTAAGAGAAACACCTTTGTAGAAAATTTGTAAATCCAATTTTATTTTCATTCATTTTAGTTTCGTATAGTAGGCTTGTGCTATTCAAAATAAAATTAAACATCGCCTGTCACTAATGTCAATGTGTACAAGTGAGTTAAGTAAACTAGATTATAAGCTTCTTTTTGTCATTTTTACGCTTTAATTTTACGAAAACTTTGACGCCCTGTATTTCGTTAAGGAGGCATTTGCGACCCTATGTTTATTAAGACTTTTCGTCTTAATTTTTCATGTATTACTACCCTAGAAGTCTGTCAGCGGTTTTTTGAATCACCCTGTATAATTTGGCTAACATATTGTGAGCATCCTGTTTGAGTGAAATCAATGAAACTACATAGATATACCTATGGTTAATAAAAGAGGTTAATAAAAAAATAAATACCTATGGTTATCAAAAAGTAGGCTGTTTTAAGTACTTACATATAAAAAAAAATAATTTTGGAAATCGGCCAACGCCATGCTAAATACAGAGGTGTTTCGACTTTAAGGGAAACTGTTATAACTACAAAATATATGATTTATATCTGAAAATTATTATTTTTTTGTTCGTGAACATTTGTTCACTGACGAAAAAAGAAACGGTATTTTGATATTTTATTCTAAAATAAAATACAGTACTTACGGCGGCTAAATTTAAAACTCCAACTACTAGGCCGATCCTTAATGCCACAGAATCCAGTTTATCGGAATTCCTTCGATCCCAGCAAGCACAAATAGAGAATATTAAGATGGTCGTTAATAATATTTCTACACCGAATGCCTGAAAACAGAAATAGATCCACATTTAACATCGAGTCATGCATTTGCTTGTGACAGTAGTCAGTACCTACTTATTGGAACTTATGTTACTAAACCCTACATTTTTCTTATAAATTAAAGAAAAAACAATTGAAAACGTACAGCTTTTTCAACTGTTTTATTCAAGGTATTTATAGTTCCAGCTCTACAATTCTCCAGAAAATATTTCGAAAATCAGAGGATATATGTAAGTTTTGTAAAATATGTGATGCATATAAATTTAATTCTTAGTTAAAAATGGGATTGCAAACCATGGAAAAACATTAAATTCGACTTCTGTAATACGATTTCCATAACATCTACGGTTTTCGAAATATTTCATCTGACAATGTTCTTTATAAAAATAAAAGTATAGCTTTATTAAAATATTTCGGAAAACAAAACAAGATTGATTTGTCTGAATTTTTTTTGGAAATTTTGGCATTTCTGCAATGAATTTGTGCAATTTGCCACTCACTGCATTTAACTGTAACATATATTTGAATAAGTTTTTTAATATTTATACGATTTTTAGATTAGGTATATTTAATTCTACTATATCGTATTAATTTTTTCATGATAATACATATCTGTATTATGATAATATACTGGTTGCTTCAAAAAAGTGTTGAGGAGGATATAGAGGACATCGTGGTAGAAAACTTTTGCATATAAACCCATAATCGTAAATGAGTCGTTTTGGCCCAAAAGACTGCTATTTAAGTAATTTTTATTAAGGATAACGCAAAGAATAATTTGAAACAAAATAAACACGCTTATCTCTTCTGATAATTGTTTACCAAATGCAGGTCCTACAGACGATGTTGGTAAAAATTGATTTTATTCACAATAAAAGCTCTATTGCACGCATCTAATCTAGCCATGCAATGTCATCTGTGTCACGCTGTGAGGAATAGTGAAACAAATGAACAGAGCTGTCAAGTAATATATGATTGGACCTAATTGAGTGTTTCACATTTGTTTTGTTTGCGACGAAATTTCTAAGTTATTAAAATGGACCAATTTACGTTCGAAGAGTATAAGGTATTTGCAGACATGCATCTTTAGTGGCGAAGCAAGATGCAACGCTAGAGAAGCTAAACGCTTTCCGAATCGCCAGCATCCTTGCCGAACAACATTTTCGTCAATCCATCATCGGTTGAAAGAAAAAGGCAACAAGATGTAGGAAATTGACATCCACGAACTTCACGGGCAGTGGTAATTGAGGGAGAGGTTTTACATCGAACTAAAGAAGCCGTTTGGAACAATTATTATAAATTTACTATTTCTGCGTTATCCTTAATGAAAATTACTTAGATATCGAAGCCTTTTGAGGTCAACGTAAAAACATTACGTTTTTCGACAAAAATTACTTTAGGGCCAAAACGGCTCATTTCTGACTGAGGGTTTATAACATATAGGTACAAAAATTTTCTTCCGCAATGTCATCTGTAGCCCCCCTCAAATTTGTCAACATATTTTTGAAACACCCTGTAGATATATTTATCTATTTTTTCAGTGTAGAACTTTAATTTTTGTTTTCATATTGCTGTTTACCATTGGCGCACAGAAAAAGTTTGGAGAGGGCGAAACTTACTAACCGAAATGTCTTAAAAAAAAAGAAACAAAAAGCCTGGAAAATAAAATAAAATTAGGTACAGATCGAAAGTTTGAAGAGCCGAGAAATCATGCTGCTTATTACTAAATTATAATCTCAAAAATTCTGAAAATCTCATGTTGTAAATGATGAAACCCAAATATATGTTTTTCAATAAATTATATACTTATTCGTAACTCGAAGTTTCACCTTCCAAAGGATTTATGGACCAGTAACAAATCTAACTTATCACCTTGGAATTTAATAAGATTCCTAATTCAACATTTTCATAGTTGATTTATCATTTTGAACATTATTCGTCTAGATATAAATATTACTTCTTACTTGCTTTAATTCGTCGCGTCTTATTATTATCGTTCATTTACCTATGCATACGAGCATCTGATGTTTTTAGTTTTAAATGCAAATAAACAATGGAACAACCCTCAGTCTGTCGTTTCTTTTCATAGATACAAAACGTTTCGTAGAAAATAGCACTTTTGACTAATCTTTATATCTCCGTAGCTAAGTATCAGTTCACTGTAAATATGATATGCTCCTCCGTTTTTGTGCACCAGATAAAAAACACCTCTAAATCTCATGTACATTGTTATCAAAAATTCCATCTACTATGTCTTAACTACGGATTTCTGTTTGATCTCATTTGGCGTGTCAAAAATTTAATAAACACCACCACACCATAATATAACAACCAAATAACTATTTTATCTGTGGTAGTAATAAAGTGTACCAAAACATATTTTTGATACTGAATCGAATAATTGAATAACTTTAATTCAGACTCTGTTTACAACTATTTACACAAATAAACACTACATAAAGATATGCAGTTTTCATTAGCAACTCCATATGTTACCACGATGTCCTACTGACATTCATTGTTACTGAAAAGCAATTTTTTATATTTTTTTATTTAATTACAATATCCAACGGGCAATGCCCAGTTACAGGATAAGGTTACAAACTTAAAAAAAAAGCAATAAAAATAGGTGAAAGATATTAAAACTATTCTTAAAACAAAATAAATATCACAAAATATAATATCTAAAACGAACAGGTAACAAACAGATAATATTTTAGTTTGTTTATTCGTTCTTATTAAAACACACACACCCCAGACAGAAGTCTTTTTAAAAAAAGAAAACAGGATTAAAATGAGAATCCAAAAGATAAATGACTTCACTTAAATAGTTCACTAATAATTTCGTTTGAAATGATAAAAGACATACGTTTTCATAATAAAAACTAATGAAGAACTAATGGAAATTGAACTACAATTTTCGTTTATCGATCTACGGCTACAACTATTCACCTCTTTTTATATTGGAGATGATTCCAGCCAGAGGTTCTCAATAAATTTTAACAACTTTGATTATTATTAATTTGCAGTTTCAAAGGTTTTGGTTATAGTCCGGGCGAATTAGGTTTTTTCGGGCCTAACTTTTATGGGCTTAAATTAAGTAAAAAATACTAAGAATAAAAGCCTAAATTTGTGTATTTGTAGAGGTCGAGCGTCATATTGTTTATAACAAAAGAAAAAAATAATTGCTTTTTTTCAGTTTTTCGCTTATATCTCCGAAATTAAGTCTCTAATCGACATGAGGTATACTTATCGATTTTGTTCCTGAGGAAATTTGCTGCAAGGGTAGGCTTTTGTGAAAGCTCGAAAATTATTTTTTAAGTTGCAAAATTAACAGTGAAAAACAATATATGCAAAATTTTCAGAATTAAATAAAAAGAACAAATTTGACTGAAATTGGATGAAACTACAGGAAAAGATAACTGTTGGGGTGCTCAATAAATACCCGCAATCTGGCCCCTCAATTTCAATATGGCGGCCTATTGTAAAATTATAAAGTCGAAAACGCGAGTGCGTATATCTTCTGCCTAAGTCAAGACATCGAAATTCATCAAAAAAGGATCGAAAGGTAATTACATTATCTCGCGTTTTTGTAAGTTTCAGTTGCAAAATAAAAAAGTTATTATCAAAAAACTAAAAAAAAAAAACGGTAACTAGGGTCCTTTTCTCGGCGATTTTTTAATATACAGATTTCAAACCAATTACCTCAAATAGTGTCCGACCAATAGGTCATCATTACAGTTCAGATATATAAATTGCCCTTTATATATTTTTCCACCACATTTACAATATCAGTTAGTGTCATAAATCAATACAGTAAACCAGTTATAAAAATATAAAGGACTGTCGACAGAGTAAAAATTAATTTGGGCCAAATTTAATTTATTGTTTAACTTGAAGATTATACGTAAAGCCGGTGTCACGTGCTTATTTCATAAAAATATAAAAATTTAGTATTTACATATAGACTACCGCCACGGTAGCGCAGTCGGTCGAGAGTGCGGTGGCAAGCATTTCTCGGCCAGGCTTCCTACTCTGGTCCGGGTTCGATCCCCGGTGTCGTCACTGGCAATGTCGATGGATAATGGGTGTTTGTCCGCGTTTTTTCAAGTGTAGCCCCCTTCCGCACAGCCTTTGGCTTTGGATTTGGGGGTTGTCTCATTTCTCTGGTGTGTTTTATGTTTTTTTTTATGTTATATTAAAGATTATAGGTTTATACAGGGTAAAGAGTCATAATTTAAGGCTAGCTGTCTTGGATGAAAGTTAGGTGATTTAAATCAACTTACCAGAAATAAATTGTGGCAAAGAATAGTGGCAGCAGCAAATGATATTAGGCATATCCTTCCGACATTCGTAACAGTTAGAAGAAATTTCTTAAAGAGATGTCAAAAATACATTGAAGCAAATGGCGGACATTTCGAAAATCAAATTTAAAAGAAAAATTGTTTTTATTACATTTAGGTCTAAATGGTTATTTTTTATTTTGTTATTTTTAAATGGTGTAGTATCTTTCATGTTGTCATAATTTTCTGTGTTTGGCTTCATGTTTACGGTTTTTTTTTAGACAACTAAAACTCTAGAGCTCTCTTAATTTCGGGTCTATATCTTCAATAGTTGTTAAATCTTAATTGTTCAAAAACTGTGTTTCACATCCAGTTTTTGAATGAAGAAAAATAAATCCTGAAAGCTTGTCGTAGCATCACTATTATATACCCTGTATAGCTTGAAATGAAAAAAAAAAATACCGGATGATTTTATACAACTCGTCATAATAACGAAAATATAGTGAATTCAATTCAGTAATATTTTCTAACAAATCAACTTTCTTTTCTCACCTGCAAATGGGTTATATCCGAGTGGGGTGTCGGGACGCAAACCCCATGTCCAGTGACATCGATATATCGTCTGGGAGTCACCATCTGCAAATTAAAGTTGGCTTAAATTTTAATAAACTCCCAAGTAAATCCGAAATAAATTACCACTTGAAGACCAACACCCGCGAGACTCCCAAAAATTTGAGAGATTACATACAGCGGCACCTGCACGAGGGTTATTTCGTTTAATATGAAAGCTGACATAGTCACCACCGGATTGACGTGGGCACCGGATATGTGTCCGAACATCTGTAAAAGAAATTGAGTGTCAGCTGAAAGATTGCTGAAATTATACATATATTGAAACAGATTTTATTTTTTTACATTGAAATACTCATAAGTTTATTTCGTAGACAATTTAATTTGTTGCTTTTTAATATCAATGCGTACGCCTATGTCCTGCGTCTCAGTTCTGACAGCCCTAATTATAAATAATAAATGTACTATACTGTGTACCTCCGGATGGACCTAACCACACTATACTAATCAATCAGTAGGGAATCTTAAATAATTTATGAATGAATTCCGTATGGCAATTTTTAAGTACCCCCACCCTAGGAAAAGTCGCTAAGAATATGGCGGATCCTTCGAGCATATACTACTAGAGGCATGCCATTGCGAAAACTGTGGCTGAGTGTGCGAGAGAAACAGACAGTACATCAGTACATCCTGTCTCACTCTAGCACGTCACGATTGGTTGGAAATGAATGCTTCAACCAATCGCGGCGTGCTAGAGTGAGACAGCATATCTGAGATATTGTCTGTCTCTCAGCCACACTTTTCGCATTGGCATGCTACCTCTAGTAGCATAGTAAACATAACCTGTTCTTTTTCCTGGTTTTAATACTTTTAATTATTATACATTAATTTCTGATTAATTATTATAATCCGAGGTAATAAAGAGATTGTTAGCTATGTAGTAGTGTTACACGTAAATTGAGTTTTTTTTTATTAAGAGAAGTTTACATTTTTTGGTTAAATACAGGTTTAGTTATTTGAATTCCAGCAGAAATAATTTAGATTAGATTATATCGGTCTGAATTTTATAAATTTTGTTCAAAAACTTACGAAAGCGTATTTATTTTCTAAACATATTTTAAAATGTAAGTTTATTATAATTTTTATTTCATTATTAACTATTTACTGGGTATAGTATTACTTATAAATAAATAATCACTAATAAAATACACAAGAACAAGATAACTAAACTGAACAACTACTCGACCAACATCATAAAATAAGGTTTTTAATGCATAAAGCTGAGATATAAGAAGGTTTAAGTGAGGTTAGTTACATATACAATAATGAAAACATACTAGATTTATGAATGAAAATATGAGTACGGAAATCGTAATAACTGTCAGTCGCTAACAAAATGGTGGAAATATGGAAGACGCGGGAAACGTAACTTTCCCTACTGATTGATTAGTATACTGTGGACCTAACCACAGTATAATTGATTAGTATACTGTGGACCTAACTATACTCGTAATTTTCCTTATTTCGCATTTTAAGGGAAAAAGTAATTCTTCATAAAAAGTGTTGCTTATCGTGAAAAGTCATTAGTCATACTCAGACTTTCAAAATAACATACAGGGTGGTTAACAAATAAGGAAACGTGAATTTGCGCCAAGAGTAAAGTATTAGTTTTTTGAGAGGAATTTAAAAATGTTACTGAAAGAAGTTGTTTGTAATGTTAATAGTAGTCCAGATATGAAAGAACGTCGTATCTTAATGTTGATATTTTTGCGAAAATTATGAATAAAATAATTTTATAATAAAATGATAAAACTATTCTGTGTTGTCCTCCTACACATTTTCCAATATTTTTCTAAATTTTTCATGAACTAAGTAAGTTGTGTCCTCGTTTATGTCGGTTATTGCTTCTGATATTTTCTCCTTTAAAAGGTTTAAATTATCTTGTAAATCATGGGCATAAACATTTTACTTCAAATAACCCAATAAAAAGAAATCAAGGGGAGTTATGTCTAGGGAGCGTGCAGGCCATCTTATAGAACCAGACTGTCTTATCCATTTATTGTGGAAATGCTGATCTAACCAGTTCCTTACACAAATTGCACTGCAGAACAACCGTCATATTGAAAATACAGATTTCTTCTGTCCTGTTTTATATCATCCAGAGCAGGCATTAAAAAGTTTTCCAACATCTCTATGTAACTGTTCTGATTTACGTTTGCGTCGAAAAAATATGGTCCAATAATTTTTTTATAATGTATCGCACACCAAACATTTACTTTTTTTATATCATTGACTTTTATTTATACTTAATACTGAAATATGGATTATCTTCCGACCAGTGCCTACAATTTTGGTAACTAACAACTCCATTCGTAGTAAATGTTGAATAAAATCTAACATAATTTGTTCCCCAATTAACGTACAAAATTCTAAACGAAAGGCGTCGTTCCCTTCTTCAACCTTATGTCAATCTTACTGGTTTGTAGGGATGTATTTTATTGTCTTTCAGAATTCTCTGTAAATGACTTTTATTAACATTTAAATCTAGTGATTTCTTGGGTTCATTGCTTACCGAATCAATTGCAAGCGAGGTATAGCAGCATCATTTTCATCATGACTCCGTTTCTATTTTTTTTATATCTTTCACAACCCCAGTATTATCGAACTATAAAATCAACTCTCGAACGCAGTTCACTGAAACTTACACCTCGGAATATTTTCTATTGAAAAGTTCAATTGCATATTTGTACGATATTTCACCTATACCGTAACATTTAACTAAATAGATTCGTTGTTCTACAGTCAACATTATTAAAAAGTTCTCTGACAAGGACTTAACGTTTTTATAAATAAATATGAGTGTATGTTGTTAAGGATACAACACAGAATCATTTTGTTATTATTCAATAAGTTATGCGCTTTCGTTAAATTTATAAAATTATTTTAATCATAATTTTCTCAAAAATATCAACTTTGAAATACGACGTTCAAATGTCATATCTGAACTACTATTAACATTGGAAACAGCTTATTTCAGTAACATTTTTAAATTCCTTTCAAAAAACTAATAATTTACTCTTGGCACAAATTCACGTTTCCTTATTTGCTAACCATCCTGTATGTTATTTTGAAAGTCTGAGTATGACTAATGACTTTTGACGATAAGCAAAACTTTTTATGAAGAATGACTTTTTTCCTTAAAATGCGAAATAAGGAAAATTACAAGTATAGTTAGGTCCATCCATAGAAAAAATTAAATAAAAAGATGTTATGGCGAAATAATAATTAATACAAAAATTACTTCTGGGATTATGCAACTGGGTTAATATTGAGTTTTCAAAAAAGGTGTCAAGCAACTTTATAATTATTTTTATGAGTATAATAACCCCTTAATCTATTTGCACTTTAATTAAGATAATCTTGTATACTGCTTATTTCCACTAAACGTGTGCAATAAATGCCATTACAGCTGTTACTTAGGTTATATATTAATACGTTACAAGAATTTTGAATTGAGTCTTTTGTAGAAATTACACTCTAATAAGTAGTATGAATAATAGGTGTGATGTTTAGACACATATAGAGTTTATTTATGGTGTAATTAATTTACTGTTCATATATTGTATAATTTATGAAATATAAAAATATGTGTATGGGTATTAAGATTAAGTACATTAAATAAAAACAAACTATTGTCCCTTACAACTTAGGTACGTCTATAATATGTCCGCGGATTGAGTTTACAAGAGGACAAATGGACCAAAAAGTGAACCGTATTCATTTTTCAAGCAAAAACTTTTATCAAGAATGCCTTTTTTCGTATCTTTCACTTTTTGGTCCATTTGTCCTCTTGTAGACTCAATTCCCAGACATACTGTATAGTAGGGGTGTCTTGATCCGTGCAAGTCAGGATCGTACTTAGGTTTAATTAAATAAAGCAGAAAATAATAAAATTAAAATCTAATATAATTCTTATAAAAATAAGTGAGCAAAACATATTTTAGCCGTTGTTGGCTTCAGGCTAATGTTGCAAAAAATAATTACGGAATCAAAAAATCTTATTTTTTACTTTTTTAAAATAGTTTATTAATGATTTTTTGCATAAAATTTTTCTTGGAAATTTTTTAAATAAGTTATTTCGATATGAAATTCTCTACAAAATTTTTCCTATGAACTATACCGAAATTTTGTTTCGTTTTCGTGCTAGAGGTATTTTAAAAACTGCAAAAGTGTATTTTCACGCCTATCTTCAATTTCAACCCTCTAATTTAATAGCACCCCGCGGTTTTTTCATTTTTAATAACCCTTCGAACAAGTCATGTGATGCAAATCCTTGAACGAATCCTTCCTATTTTGCAAAAAATGATAATTAAAATGTATAAAGGTAAACGCGGTAAAAAGTTGAGCGGCCATATTAGTCAATTCTCAGCCAAAAATACTGTACAACATCTCTCTTTGAAGGAAATTTTATCTACTTTTTTTTATGAAGCAATACCTATCTTTACTCAAACTAGAGGCAAAAAAGTAAAAATAATTAAAAAATCGGATTTTTTGCTTTTTTCCAAATTGTTTATTAACGATTTTTTTAATAACATTTTCCTTTTAAATTTTTTAAATAAGCCATTTTGATGGGAAATTTAATTCTCTAAATAATTTTTCCTATGAACTATAGCGAAATTTTGCTTCGTTTTCGAGCTACAATTAAAAAAAAGAAAGGGGTGCATTTTCACCTCTATCTCCAATTTCCACCCTCTAATTTAATAATACCGCGGTTTTTTCATTTAAAATGACCCTTTTTCCTTTTAACCCTGTTTTTTTGGATATAATCAATAGCCTATAAATTCAATGAAAACATCTATGCATAAAAATATACTTTCATTTCTCATAGTAAGTGCCAAATATATTTTTCGTTTATAATAATCGTAGAGTAATAACTAGATAAAATAGCTCCTCGTCACTTCCTTAGATTATTTGAGAGTAGAAAAGTTTTTTTTTATCCTAAAAATCTTAAATGTTCAAATATTGTATACGATCTACCTTTTCCAAATATTGTCTTCTTGTTGGTCTTTTATCCTTTGCATGCAGTCACAATAATATTTACCGAACGTATGGCTGGGTGTTTTTAAAAGGGTGAAAATGTAATCATAGTTATGTTACAAAGTAGTATGATATTTGAACTGAAATTAAAATAAATAATCCATGACTAATCTAAAGGTCTTTTTCTAACTATATATAATTATAGTAGAAATATGACCATATACCTGTCAATATTTATAATTAGACGTTAAAACAATGAAAACTAAATTTTACGCAGTAACAGTTTTGTTTTTGACAAAGTGTTTACTATAATTGCAAAAGTAGGGACCTATTTTAGCAGTATTGATGAGTAAATTTGGTGTTTAACAATTTGTGAATAATTACTAAATTCGGTATAATTTAAAATACATTACTGAGACGATAGAAGCTGTTGTTATTTAAGGGAATTAAAACATTTAATCTGACAGCATTCATGTTGTTTATACTAGCGCATTCGCCATAATATAGAATTTGTCAATTATTATCAATATATAAATAACTCGACAAGATGGTTTAATAAAAGATTAAATAACATAGTTTTAGTTAGCATAACATTAAGTTGCGCGAAGCGCGAATTTTCAATCGAACGTTAAAGGAACGTAATATAACTTATTAAAAAAAGTGCATAAGTTTCGTAAATCTTAAATGTTATAAGAAGAGAAAAATTACCAATAAAATGTATGTAGTTAAAGTTTTAAGTAGCTCCAAACTGTGAACTTGTTATATAGAAGCTTCAAATGGAAGTTATCATAGTGTAGAAAAACCTTTCAATGGTTATTCAACTGAAGGTTAAGTTATCAGTAACCGTTATTTTAACGTTCGTATCCTCACTTGGTACTGGGTCCTTTTATTTTAATATAACCTTACCACGAAAAAAAAAAACAAATTACTTATATATACAAACATATGTAGGTATAAAACATTTGAGTTTGAATTAATTCTAAAAATGTTTCTAAAAATCTTGTCAAATGAAGTCATATTTGTATTTGATATCTAAAAAGCTAGATATGCAAAAAAGTCAAAGTTTTTTAGCTAAGTTAAATTTTTGGTATCAAATACAAACATGAAAAAAATGTATACAGAGTGTAAATAAATAAGTGCGAAAAGAATCACGGGCAGATTCCCTGTGGAAAAATAAGGTGGGTCTTTCATATAAAAAAATCTCAATTAAACATCCCCTGTGAAGATACAACCGCTTAAACAGGATGCGAAAGAAGTAGTTTTCAATTTTTTTCTGAAATGCCAAAACAGTAACAGAAATTAAATTAAGTTGACATTTTCTGCTATCGAGAAGGCATTCACTAAGCAACTCGTTGACTTTCCCTATGGTTAAAAGGGGTAGAAAAAGACAGCCCTAAGCTTGTTTCATACGTAACTTTTTTTCTTATACCTTACCATTTAAAAATTCATTTCAGATAGCGTGATTAGCATAAGGCAGAAATTTTATTTAACTGAAATTTATCTAGTAGGCGGCTGTCACATTGTCATTTTGTAAAGGCAACTTAATTGTTATTAGTAACGTTACAGTTATTCATTTTCAACATTTAATTTCTATTAGTTCAAATGATATTTTTTTTATGTGAAATACCCAACTTATTTTTCCACAGGGAATCTTCCTCTTAATTTTTTCGTACTTATTTATTTACACCCTGTACAACTTTTGTAAGTTTGAGTTGTTTTCCATACATTCATACTTCATGAAAACTATGAAATTGCTTTTCACAGTTTTCAGAGATATGTTTGTATGTTCATATTTGTTTTAAATAAAAACTAGTCATAATGTAATAAATCCAAATTAGCTTAGATTTTTATTGTTGATTGATAGTAATGAATAAATTTCCTACTTTCATTTAATTTGGAAAAGGTAATTAATCATAATAAAATTTTATAACTTTATTGAGAATTCTTAGTACTTACTTAGTATTTAGTTCATAGTACTTACATGATTATATATGAACTGGATAATCAAAAACAGCAAATTTTTTTATTATCAAAATTATGACTTTGAAACATTTTATGGGTGTTTTTCATTATTTTTTGCGAAAAAATATCACAGTTGCATGTCTACAATTTTATTTTCATAAAAGCCGAAGTATTAAAATGATATTCAACAAAAATTCAAAGTTAATATGAATTTGTTGTAGCAAATTGATTAGTCATATTTCCACGGCGCTTTTCGTAAACAAAAGGTCTTGAAATCCAAGGTTTTTAAAAAAATTACCAAATAGAAGTGCACGGTAATTGAACGATATTACTTATGAAAAAATGTTTAATATTGGAACAAAAACACACATTTTGGATGGACTATACCTGAATAACCGCCATAACTGCCAGTCCAGTATTGAAGCTGACTTGCATCGTTGAAATATCACCCTGGATGCCCATAGTTGTCCCCATGCATGATAGAAATAGCAGCGTCGCCGTACCGATAAATTCCGCTACAACTATAAAAACGTGGTCCCATATACTCGGTTTGGCCCCAATATGCAGGCTCACGCTTTCTAGAAATTAAAATAGGAGACTACATTAACATTTCAATCGTTGTAACGTTTCACAGTGCTGGTGTCGAAATGGAAGGCACAAAAAACCGTATTTTGGGTGACGATGGACTTTTTTATCACAGAAATTCACGCCACTACCGCGAAAGGAATTGCTATAAATTTATTTTAAATAGTCATTTAGTTAATGGTTGATAATACTTAACAAATGTTACCTCTGCTGGACATAATTGTCTCCTGTTTTAATGCCGTTTTGAAATCCATAGGAAATATGCTGTACTAGAAAAACCGTACACAAGACAAGCCAAAGCAACAGTGAGATAATTTTCATTTTATTTTGACGTTCCTAACAATTTAATTAGTGTTACCGTATGAAGGTCGAAAATAGTGTATTGGGTGTCCCAAAAATACCATTCGATGGCCATTATCTGTGTCATATCAGAAAATATTTATAGAGAGATGCTTGTGTAGAATGCCTACTCAAACAAAATTAATACTTCATATTTTCTAAACTTCGAAATTTTCTCCTTTTAGAATCCATTTTAAACTAGCATTAAAAAAATAAATAATGATCTTACATTCGCTTAAACCAATAGATTATGGAGTGGGCATTCAAGAGACAAACTAGTGACTAAGTCATAATTGAATAAAATATACCTAGTATTATGGTAATAATCGAAATACAATATTTGGCAAAATGTCAAGAAGAAAATTACGAGCAAGAATAGAAAACATTACTATTTACCTCTAGAATTATTTAAGAATTTTCAAAATCCCAGCAGGAATTAAAATATAGTACAATTATGAAAAAACGATTACTCCAAACTCCTAATTTTTTGAAAACATAAAGGTTGTTAGTCGCCCTCTGTACTTTGATGAAGTCTGTTCAACAGCGAAAGAATTTGTAGAAATTTCTCCAAAGAAATGTTTTTCTGTCTGTAGATGTCAATTTTTTTACGCACTGCGTAAAATTTTGTTTGAAAAATAATTTATCGTTATTAGTGCATCTAATATTTACGCATCTGTCATAGAGCTGTGTCACAGAAAGGTGTTAATGGATAGAACTGGAAATTTCAGGATCATCTAACTACAGTGCCGCATTTTTGTTGATGGTATCAGTTTTAGCGTTTACTAGTAACATCCTAATCGGCTCTAGTATCAATATATGTATTTATAAAAATATAAATCATGTGACACATTATGTGACTAAGTGTTTTTCTACTGAATGTTTGAGTCATTTTGAGTGTTAATTTTCCAGGAAGCAGATATTTCAAGATATTTTAATGTAATAATGTCTCTAAGTATCATTACGCTAAGTACTATAATTATATTAGGTACAAATAGGTTTTTTCCATATCTTCAGTTTACTGGTGTTAGTTTCGGAAAATTTCACAACTTTTTTATTAAGTATTGAGTGTCCCAAGATTTAAATTTTGCGCCATTTGCGTATAGTGACAAAAGACAGCTGACAACTGACAGTTCTGGATTATTAAAAATGGAGCACTACCCGAAAGAACAACGCGTTCGTAATTTTCGCACAAAATATGGTTGGAATAGTGGTTTATGTTCATCAACTGTGAAGAGATTAAGGATTAAGTGAAAACTTCAGGGAAACTAGATCAATTAGTGATCTTAAACACTCTGGCCGTCCTTCAACAAGTCGTTCAACACAAAACATCGAAGCAGTTCGTGAGAGTGTTGCTGAGCGTCCAGGAACATCAATTCCGCACCATGGTCAGGAATTGGACATTTCGAGAAGTTCTTTACAGGATATTCTGACGATTACTGACCACGCAGCGCGAAGAGAATTCGTTGAATTGATTTTGGAACAAGAAGTGGATACTGATTTTTCGAACAAAATCATCTTGAGCGATGAAGCTCATTTTCATCTTGATGAATCGATAAAATTGTAGCATTTGTGGTTCAGAAAATTCACAAGTGATTTTTGAGAAACAAATGTATCCACAACGTGTCACTGTTTGATGCAGATTTTGGGCTGGACGCATCATCGGACCATTCTTCTTCGAAAATATCGCGACATGATAATCCAGTTTTTTGTGCCTAAATTGCAAGATATGGATGTAGACGACTTGCGGTTTCAACAACAACAAGACGGTGCCACATGCCATACGGCCCGCGAAACCATTCAATTACTGTTTGAGTCATTTCCTGGTCGTGTAATTTCCCGTTTTGGCGATCAGAATTGACCCTATACTGTATACTTTATAAATCAATAAAAAAATTTCAATTTTTAATTAAGAACCTGTGTTTTCTATCAAAATTACTTCTTACGCGAATTTTAGGAAAATATTTAACGTAAAAATGAAAGAAAAGCAAGACAAAATTTAAGAAAGTCTCGTAGATTTCAATCGTGTTACATGGTTAATTAATTTTGTTTATAAAAACATACCTATCCCAACCTGAACACCTGAACCAGCGAATAGCACTAAAACTTACAAGAAATTGCACATTTATGACTGGAATTTACCCAAACCTTTTCAGGAGAAAAAAATCACCACCTTCAATAATGTTTATCTAGAAATAATTGTTGTTTTATCGCTTTGAAATGTTTGTAGAAATAAGTATGGATAAATGAACACCTTATGCTAATATGCCTTACAACGGAATTAAAATAACAGAGAAAATAAAAATGTGACAATTCTTTCACTTAGCACATAACAAATATCTACTTTTTCACTAAAAATCTGTAGAATTCGTAAAATGTGTTTGAGAAAACATTACAACGATAAGTGATATTAATACTTGATAAAATAAATCGGTGTCATTATAAAAAAATAGATCTGAAGTAACTATCAGCAACTGATTGAGAAGGATTAGTAGTATTACGTCTTTAATTAATCGAAGATATTAGTTGATACAACACGGCAGCAGGTTAGTCAACTTATTAATTACCTTTGTTGGCAATCGTATACTCAACATCCTGAAATTTTTCATTCCCCGTCATTGGAGCCAGTTCAACTAAAACCAATGATGAAGTATTACAATGACACGAAACTTAAAACAGGAAACTCTATGAAAAAAAAAGTACTCACACACTAAAACATACATATGGTGATGGTAAAGTTGAGGTATGAAGAAAGTATTGAAAAGTAAATGAACTAACTAAATGAACTTTTTCGAAAATATGTGTTTATTATTGTATTTTTTTTTATTTTAATTACAATATCCAACGGGCAATGCCCAGTTACAGGATAAGGTTACAAACTAAAAAAAAAATACCACAAAACGTAATAACTAAAACAAACAGGGAACAGACATATAATATTAAAATGCTATAATACAATACAAACAAATGCAAAAACATACTTATACAAACATAAAATTCAAAGGAACACTTTTTTAATTTGAGTAATACTGGAGCAGAGTATATCTATGCGAGATTCGATATTAGAATAACCAATAATCATTTGGTGAACCGTATTGTACTTTTGGTATCAGGTTATTTAATAATTTTAGTTTAGATAAAATTCTCTAATATCAGTTAGTTGTTATTTTTGTCGAAAATTTAAACTTCATTTAGTCAGACGTTTAAAAATGTTGAAATATATGCAATCTCTTTATAATGATTTTTCAAAGTAGAATTCGAAATTTTTTTACTTCATCTTAACAGTATAAACGAATACTAAACATCATCATAGAGGTTATAATCCTTTAATAAATTTACGGCACACCTCTTTTATTTAGATGTTCTAAAATTATTTATGTTAATATTTATGATAGCATATATTACGTCGTATAGCAAATTTGATTAAGAAGTTTTATACGGTTTGAATAAATATTTTCGACGTATATTCAAAGTCTAGCTTAAAAGTGTATGTGATAATAAAAATGTGAAGAAAACAACGAATTTCAAATGGCGTACATATGAAGAAGAAGAAGGACAAAAGTGATGAGAAGAATAAGAGAAAATTGTGCAAACTGCCTGGCAAATTTGAATGATCATAAATTCAAAATTTCTTTGAGAGACACTTAAAAAGTATCTACAATTAAATATGTATTGTTGTTGAAATCAGTATTTGAAGGAAACTAAGATTACTAAGATTACTAAGATAACAAATTATTTATGTACAATACACTTTTTTACGTTCTAAATATATTGAAACATTAATTGAAAAGAAATAGTATATTATATCTTTCCATCAACTCATAAAATGAAATAATACTTTAGAGGAAGTGGAAAAATGATGAAAAATTAATAAAAAAATCTGTACTGTATACACCGTGTCCACCTAGTGCGCGTAAGTCCAATATCTAGGTTAATAAAAGATATAACTTAATTTTTTTTTCTACAGAGTTGCCTACTCTCCAGAGCTGCACAAAATGAAAAATATTTGCATATACAGGGTGTTCAGTTTTTTCTGGGCAGGTACCAATTTAATTTTTTTAAATGGAAACCTATATTTTTTACGGCATTATCGAATTCTACGTGAAAAATTAACGGGACTTTGTGTTATGATCCCTATTAAAATATTGATAGTTTACGAGATAATCGACTTTTAATTTTTTTTTTTTTTCTTTTTCTTCGTCACTTCTAGTAGTTGACATAATTATGATTGTATGACAAAAAACGTATCAAAAGTTGACCTGCGATATACAGGGGGCAAAATAAAACGTGCCAAACCTGATAATTTAAAATTTGAAAAATCTCGACTTTTTCAAATAGAACACCCTGTGACTTATGATTTCATTAGATGCCTTTCTGTAGACCCTACAATTTTTTAATAGCTTTCCCTATACCTAAATTGCGTATTTTTTGCAAAAAAAAAACATTTTTATATAAAATAGGTACCGGATTTGCGCCCGTTCCTTTGTCGGCAAAAACGCAGTGAGCGCCTGTCGAGCAATAAAATTTGTGACAATCAGTTTACATGTCATTTCGTCTTCTATTGAATATTCACGTGCGAGTTCAGAAAAAGTACTAAACGTGCATACAATGAACTATTCAAAAGAAGAATTAGTGGTATATGCCTTAGGAGAAGCTCATGGAAATTGTTTGCTAGCAGCACGTATTTACAAAGCAAACCAGATTTACAGAGAATTCCACGTGCTGACTGTTTTGAAAACGTGAAGGAAATGTTTGAAAGAACAGCAAATGCGAATTATGAGAAAACTACCAGGAGACATGAAAGTAACAATAATGATATTCAGTTTAATGTTGTGGCGTGTGCTGTTGAAAATCCTTGGAGTTTCCAAAAGCTTGACAAATAAGATATTGAAGAAGTATAAGTTTCATCCATATCATATTGAAAAACATCAAGCACTGTTACCTCAAGACCACCTAAACCGCCTGCAATGTTGCCACTGGGCACTGGGTAAAATTCAAGAAAATCCAAACTTTTTTATGCATGTCTTGTTTACTGACGAATCCACATTTTCAAACACATGCTTACCCAATCGTCGCAACTTTCACCACGCTGACAATAATCTCAGATTATTGAGGGAAATACATCATCAGCATCGTTTCAAAGTGAACGTGTGGGCTGGAATTTGTGGAGAACATATTGTTGGACCGTACTTTGTTGAAGGCAATTTAAATGCCAATGTGTATTTGCATTTTTTGCAAAACGAACTTCCCCTTCTTCAGGTACATATGCCCGCTGATTATTTGGTTCAACAATGGTTTCAGCATGATGGTGCCCCTCCACATTCCACTTTGGCTGTAATGTGATTATTTTATTGTTATTATACTTTTCCTATTACCTATTTATCTTTCAGGTTAGAGAACACCTAAATCACGTATATCCAAACCAGTGGTTAGGTCATGGTGGTCCAATTCCTTGACCCGCACGTTCGCCTGACTTAAATAGTCTGGACTTTTTCTTGTGGGGTTATATCAAGGAGCGAGTATACGAATATTCAAGACTTAAAAGAAAAGATTCAAAACGAGTTTCTAACTATAACGCCTCAAATGTTAAGAAATGTCCACATTCATTTTAATCGTAGATTAATGCTTTGTGTAGAAAACAACGGTGGACAGTTTGAACATTTATTTTATGTTGGCTTGCGACTAGGAGTATTCTTTTTTCAAAATTCTAATCATCCAAATTTTTTAATCTCCAATTTCACTAATAACTTTCCTAACTACGGTAACAGTGCTTGATTTTCAATTTGATACGGATGAAACTTCTTCAATATTTTATTTGTCAAGCATTTGAAAACACCACAAATTTAAATTAAATATTATCGTTGTTACTTTCATGTCTCCTGGGAGTTTTCTCATAATTCGCATTCATTCAAACCTTTCCTTCACATTTTCGAAACAGTAGGAATCTTTGTAAATTTGGATTATTTGCTTTGTAAATATGTGCTGCTAGCAAACATTTCCCATACCTATTTTACTAATTCTTAATCACTTGTAGCGATTTTATGGTTTTTTGATTTTATTTACAAATAAATGGTAACTTTCTAAACTAGACTTATTTATTAAACTTAAATATCTAAATTTTTCGGTTATTAATTTTTATTTTAAATAGTGTAGCTAACCAACTAATAAATTTAATAAAAATAAATACCCTTACAATATATTTCCCGACAAAGGAACGGGCACAAATCCGGTATTTTACATAAAAATGTTTTTTTTGCAAAAACTAGGCAACTTAGGTATAGGGAAAGCTATTAAAAAATTGTAGGGTCTACAGAAAGGCATCTAATGAAATCATAAAACACAGGGTGTTCTATTTGAAAAAGTCGAGATTTTTCAAATTTTAAATTATCATGTTTGGCACGATTTTTTTTGCTCCCTGCATATCGCAGGTCAACTTTTGATATGTTTTTTGAAAGAGCAATCTTCACTCTAGAGTTCCTGAGAAAAAATAATTTCTAGCTGTCATACAATCATAATTATGTCAACTACTAGAAGTGACAAAACATAAGAAAAAAAATTAAAAGTCGATTATCTCGAAAACTATCGATATTTTAGTAGGGATCATAATGCAAAGTCCCGTTAATTTTTCACGTAGAATTCGATAATGCCGTAAAAAATATAGGTTTCCATTTAAAAAAAAATAAGTTGGTACCTGCCCAGGAAAAACTGAACACCCTGTATATGCAAATATATTTTCATTTTGTGCAGCTCTGGAAAGTAGGCAACTCTGTAGAAAAAAAAATTAAGATATCTTTTATTAACCTAGATATTGGACTTACGCGCACTAGGTGGACACGGTGTATACATAAATGAAAATTTCAATGAACTTTTTTAATCAATTTTGACCATTAGAAACACTAGACATATTTTTTATTAGTTAATAAACAATATTTTGTTTCCAAAAATATTTTGATGTCTTGTTATGAAAAAAAATATATTTATAAAATAAACGATATTATGGATGTTGTTAATTTTAACTCAACATACCTGTCTGAGACATAACGAATGTTATCGTTCTCGATAGACACTGAAACAATACTGCCTGGCTTAGTGTTGCCACAGAAGTGCACAGAGATCTCTCAAGATATTATCTAAATATATTAAATTAAAAATTAAGGATTATTAATCTAAAGTAAGTACTGGGTAAAATATACAGAGTGGCGCTAGACAATAATGTAATAGCTGTAAAACAAGTTATATTTAGTAGATATGTTTTTTAACTGTATACTTGGCGGACCATTAGTGTGAGAAAGTACATTAACTCCTTTGTTACTCAAGAAGAATCAAGAAGCCTAAACTACATAATTAATTTGAAACATACAGGACGCCCGAGTAAATACGGGACACGCCAAATATTACATTTTTTAAATGGAACACCCTGTATCTTTTAACAGTTTAACATATTAGTGCGAGGTTGCCAAGTTATGTAGAAAATTCTTCGAATTTTGGAAAAAACATGACCTCGAAGAAGTTGTATTAACTTTCAACACATGGAGCAAGAATATTAGACAAAGGCTCCTATATTAGCTAATATCGATATTTTTTGCAGGGCATTTTTTATAATACGATCATTTTTAGAAAGTTTAAACTTGGTTTTCTAAAATTTAATTTCTCAAATGGAACACCCATTATTTTATTGTTCTATTTTATTCACATATCGGTCCAATTCAACTTTTAGTAAGCATGTTCTACTAGTAAAATTGTTAGTTTTTAAGATATAGCAAAATTTCTGAAAAAACTTTATTTTCGGTCGCACGAGATGGTTTTTTGACTTGATTTTATTAGTTAATAGTTATTCTATAAAATAATTTTGAATTATACAACATATTTGTTTATAAAAAAAAAACCTTAATAGAACATAACGATACAGTTTATTTATTAAATGAAAATTAAATAACAAAATAGATACAAAAATAAATCAAATATTTAATTTTATAAGTTTTCAAAATGACGGCCGTCTTGATGTAGGCATAGCTGTACATCTTGTTCTGGTGTTAACATTATCCAAAATATCAATGTTGATATTTTGAAAAACTCGTCGGATTCGGTTATTCATTCATTCAAAATGCACGTAATTTTAAAAATAGAGTCTATCTTCATGCATTTTTCTCTGTGCCCTATTACAAAATTCCAAATTAATTTACATATTTATGTATTTTATTAATTTACTTATTTATTATTCCAACATAAAAAACCCAATTACAGGAATAAAAAAGAACAGAAAACTATAATTATTGTGTGATGTTTAACAAATACTCACTATATGTATACTAAATACAAATAAAGTGAAACAGTAAGATGAAATAAACAAAACGGAATTGTCTGTTACAGCTAATTACAAAAAAAAAAAAAACAACTAAAACTGTTCATACTTACTAAGCGATCTACCCAATTACATAAATTGAAAAAGTGGTAAACATTGTATTTTATGGTATTATCTGCACGCAGTTATGTCAATATTCCTTAATTAATCGAACTTTTGTACAAGCTGGAGATTTTAATAATTTTTTTCTCGGAAATGGTTGAGTTTAGGACCCATGTCATATACGTTTTTTTTGTTTATTTTAATGTATTTTATCGTCTATTAAAATTAAGGCAGTCAAACTTCTAACACCCTGTATAAATAAAAATTAAAAGGGGCTAATAAAACAAAACAAGCTGAATTGCATGTTTCAACTAAATACCAGCAAGACTAATTAAAAATGTTAACCGAACGAGCAACGAGCTTACAAATGCATCATGAATATTTCAGTTATTTGCAATTTTATTGTAGAGCCCACACATTAGCGAAATAGGAGCTTTAGTTAAAAGATTAGTTCAATTATATCTCCTCGCAGTGAAAAACCAGATAAGTCTGGATAAAATAAAATGGATCTAAATAAATATAAGTATCTGATTAGTAGTATTAGTTAACGCAAAAAATACAACAATGTAGTCTTAGATTCAAGGTAATTTTAAAATAAATAGTTAATTTTTATATTAGAAATTTAAAACATTATCTGTTATCCCCGACATGATTTTCAAATGTGTAAACTTACTGGGATTTTTAACAATTTTTAATTCACTTAGAAGTGATATTTATTAAAGATAATTCCATGTAAATTAGTTATACAGGGTGTCTCTTGAATTCGAATGCCAAACAGGATGTTCCTCCGTCAATTGACTCAGCTACAAAACTAAGGGTCAATTGCAACTTTTTAAAATTAAAAAGTAGTTGTACTCAAACTACTTTTTTAATTACATAAAATACTCAAAAATTGTTGTTGAAAAAGTACTTATACCTAAGTTTAACTACTTAAAATAATTAACTACTTTTTATTAATCTTTGCAATAATCTAACTACCTACCAACTATTCCCAGCATAAAATTAAGATGGCTGAATGTGTTCAGAGAATGTAATGAAACCACTGATACACAAAAAATAACAAGGCCATTATTAATACGTGCTTTGATATGTTTCCTAATATTATATTGCTGCTTCATGCAATCCCAGACAAAGTAATCAAGTGGATTAATGTCGGATGACCATTGAGGACATAATACAGGACCTCCTCTGCCTATCCATTTTATCTAAATATAATAATAGTACTAACACTTACTTATTTCTGAGTTACCTGACAAGTTATGACCCCAAACAACCAAAAAATTTTGTGTAATCATTTACTCAGAACCCTTTTGTCATACAATTTAAAAAGTACCCATAGGTGTATAAATTCTGTTTAAAAAAAGGCACCGTCTACCACGCCACTGGTAGTTGTATTGAAACGTTCGTCATTTATTGTTGCTTTGTCATTTTTAAAACATATTATGTGACCACAAGAAAGACCCATTTTGATTTCCTTATTACTTGCTGTTTTTTAAAAGCCACGAAAAGAAGTTAAAAAAATAAAGTCGTCACTATGTATCTTGATTAAGATGCGATTTATGGCATGTTCCCATTAATTTTGTTCAACATCAAGTCCTCTATCAACTGCTTAAAGAAGGAACACAGTGCTATTAAATAGAATAATACATTAAATAATACATTTTTTTATATTTCTATTTTTTTCTCTTCTACTTGATTACCTACGACTAGAAGTCTTCAGAAACATGTATTTACATGAACAGATGAACATCATATGTATAAATTTAATCGAAAACCGTATTCGTTATCAAAATTTTCCATGAGTAATATTTTTTTCAATTATCATCACTCTTTCATGTCACAAAATTTACATTTTGCAACAGACAAAAAAATTAACATTTTCTGTATGCTATGAAAAAAAAATTGTTCTATGCAACCCATTTTTCGCTACTATAAATTTGAGTCACCTGGTATAAGAAGTATTAAAAAAACATCATAGTCAACAGATTATGTTCAAGACATTAATTATATGAATTAAAAGTGACCCTTATTTCATTAAAATATATTGTATTAATTTTGGCTTTTGCCATTAAGGAACATCCTATAAAAATACGACAAAAGTTTAATCTACTTTTATTGCTTCTATATCGTATTCTAACGCAAAGCAGATGACTCTATTGAAAAATAAGAGTAAAGACATCTATAAAATCACTCTTCAATAGAAGTCAAACCCGTTAAAAGGAAACTTCATTTTCAGTCCCTTTCCGGTATAAGTGGCACTGATATGACGGATATTAGATTTCCAGGAGGCTCTAGTGGTTCAGCGAATATTCCAACACCTCGGTGAAAAATAGAGGTAGATAGATATACGGGAGTGCTGACTGAGTTCCAGTTGGATGGCAGCTGCTTGCGGATCGTTATTTTACATAAAATGAGTTTCCCTCGCCCTTTAGACACTTAAATCAAGGAAGTTTGGATGTTCTAATGGCGACTGTGATGTATTAAGAGTATCAATCATTTATTAAATAGAATTTATTTTAAATATATGAGTTCATAAGTCGACACAAATGGAATTGAGTTAGGTGAAAATTCCGTTAAAGATTGTTTCTAAATAATAAATCTAATACATTTAACCATCATTTTAATAAACTAAATAAAAAAATTCTTCTAAATTCTTTTTTTTTAGAAATAAATAACACTTCTGGAATATCCCCAATAAATGATATATTGGTTCTTTGCAAATTTGCAGATTTCCAGCCAGCAAAAAAACGTTTTTTGCCCGGACATAGAAATGACTCATATAACGATAATCTAGTAAGTAATCTTATCGCAAATATACAGAGTGTAAGAAGTTTGAGTGCCATTACTTCAGCATGAAATAGAGTAATCATAAATGAACAAAAAAGTTGTATATTACAGGGGCGTAAGGTTAACAGTGACAACAGCGCTTAACCAAACGCTACACAGCTGGTGTATACCACGTGTGCACGCGGCAGACTTGTCTTACGGAAAAAATGTAAATAAAACAACTATTATTGTAAAACATTTAGTTAAATTTCAAGGCAATTGTTTTCCATTCCATTTTTAAATAATAATATTTAAAAAAGTACCCAAAGATTCAAGTCGTCCAAATGATCATACGTAGTAAAAATAGTTTAGGTACTTACCAAAAAGCAAAATTCAGTAATTTTTAAACGCACAAGTACAAAACAAACTACATATGCTCAAAATGTCCTCCACCATTTTCGATGCAGGCACGACACCTTCGAATCCAATTTGCGCGCACTCGCTGGAAAACACCTCAAGAGAATTAAATAGTGGTACGCAAAAAACACTCAGACACGGTCCGATTCCAGATACCAACTGAACTGGGCTGGACAGCTTAGTACCTCGTGTTATCCGCCGCGCCGTTGTCACATTGCTCGATATGAATTTTATCGAATTTTAAATTTAATAAAGTTCAAAAAAGTGATAAACATTGTATTTTATGGTATCCTATGCACGCTGTTATGTCAATATTCCTTAATTATCATTATAATCAAACTTTTGTACCCATGTTATATAAGGTTTTTTTGTTTATTTTAATGTATTCTATCGTCTGTTAAAATTAAAGCAGTCAAACTTCTAATACCCTGTATAGAACAGCTGATATTTTAATTTTTTGTCTATTT